AATACAATACTAATCAGGCTTATTGCAGAATATGTTAATTATATTTAGGTAGAAATATATACAAACAGGAAGCCCACAGGAGCAATTAAAACTAAGAATATGTAATCACAGTAGATGGAAGTTATGTTGAACTGCATAAATACACTAATAAAACTTTGACTTATCTAAATTTCTCCTCACTGGCTTACTACAGTAAAAATGAAAAGCCGAGCTTTGGTGTACTCCTGTCAGAAAATACATCTCGATTTATTGATTCCTTGCTCTGGTTGCCCAAGGTACTACATTGAGAATTATAATACTGAGAACAAAATTAATTACTTCCTATATCATTTTCTTCTATTCGTGACATTGTGTTATAAGTATAACCTAGAAGCAGATTAAAGGACCCTTCTGCTTTTTGTAACCTAGAGCAAAGCTACTCTTTTTATCATAACAGAAAGTGATAAAAATGATAAAGTAGTATATAAGAAATGTGGCTGGGACAATTATAGTGATTGTGTGAACAGAAAAGGAAATGTCATTATTCTTTAGTAAAATCAAGATGTAATCAAAGTATGAGTTTGTTTTCTGTTGTAATGGTTTTATAGTTTAGCAATTGGCTTTCAGGCACCTTATGACAAGGTTTTATAAGAAAACATGCCTTTTATTGAAAGAGTCAGAAATTCTTCAGCCATTAAACCCTACTGTTCACTTTGAAATGATTATTTGATAATTTTTTATAACTCAGTGTTTTCATAAAATACCACACCAACAAAGCATATTGATGCGTTATTAGAGAATTGTAAAAACCTTCCGCTTCAGTAAGAAATTATGGCACTTTTAAGTTATTTTAGTACTGTTTGCAGATTTACGACATTAAAGTAATCTGTAAAATGTTTAACTCTCAGTCTTTCTGAGTGGACAAATAGTCACTATAAATCAAAATTTTAAAATACCCTTGAAAAAAATCTAGATGTGTTAATGATTCTCTAAGACTAAAAACTTTAGAAATGTATAAAGCTTTTACTCTGTCCTCAATACTAGTAACATTTCTTTCAGACAATTATTTTAATAACTGTCTTTTAAAAATATTATTACATTTTTATTAGTAAGAAGAGAAGATAGTGTATGTTCTTGGTACAGATGATCTTCATGACATTGTCACTGCAAATAAATGGAGTGGACATGTGATTATATGTCTCTATTATGATGGAGGACAGGAAAGGAAGAGAAACAAGACTCCTAAGCATCTTAAATCCACAATCCAGCCAAGTAGGAAGAGTGACAGTAAAGATCAGTGGCAGCAAGTTTTCCTTTTTTCTAGAAGTACTTACAAACCAGTTTGAGCCAATTTATTCTGTCCTTTGTTCTTATTCTTTCATTCCATTCTATAACTTCTAATTCCCATCAGACACGACATTAACTTTTGTCCAGCCAATCTCATGTTATGCCTACCTGAAAGCCAACTCAAGGAGTCTGAATGAAGATGTCCTTGTTATTTTCATGAATTCTTTCACTTATTCATTTATCTTTTATAGTTAAAAGCAATAAGACTAGACAAAGTAAAGTGTATAAAAGAAACCCAGAACCATATCCATACAGACTAAGTACAGTGATTTCTTATAACAATTTTGCCAAAAAGCACCTATTTACATCTCGATTTAGTCAAAACATTTAAAAATGTATCCAGCTTAAATCACCTTAAGAAGTCAATGTATGCCACATAGCTCTTTGACCAGAACATAATCTGAAATCAATGAAATAATATGGTTCCTGTTATAAACCAAAAATGTTTGGAAATCACAAGATTAGAATATGAAATCTTATAAGGGACAATTTATATATTTGGCAAATGACTTGGCATGAGGCAATCATTAAGGATTTAAGCCATCCATACATGCCCAACTGCCCTTAAGAATAATTTCTTAACTTTTTTTGTTAAAATTCGTAATTATAAACTCAAAATTTTCAGCAATTGAAATAAATCTTCCATATTGCAAATCATCCTTAAAATTTAGACTATAATATAATATTTGTGCATAACAATTCTATTTGCCTTGGCATTTGATTTGAATAGTAACACCACATGAAAGTTTATGATGAGGTCTACATAATTTTTTTAGGAAAGGAAAGCATTAGTAACCAAATCTTGCCTATTATCAGTGTGGGGATTAATATGTTGCATTGAAATGTTAGATTTAGTCAGTATATCCAGAGAAATCACTCACAATAGGCTGACCTTCAAATTCTATTAATTTTCTCTTCTTCTTATCTCAATTGCTACACTCTTATTCCTACACAACTGATCACAGGAGAGTAGAGGTTTTTAACCTTGAAAATTCCAGGTTAGCAATTATCCACTTGAAAGTGACTAGAATTTTAGATTGTCTTGTTCTTATTTGGCTAAACAAAAAGCACCTTATAAACTCAAAATAAGTGCTTTTAAAAAAGTATTTTGAAGTCAATATTGTTCTCTATTAGGTCACATATAAGTTGCTGATTATAAATACAATTCAGAAGCCAAAATGGAACTGCAGTTAATGAATTAATGTTACGAGAACACTGAGTCTGTGTAGTATGTTATAAATTTGGTAGCTTTTAATCCATCTGTATTATTTGGTCATCACAGCAACATTGTGAGACAACCAGGGCAGATATAATTATGTTTAATATACAGAAAATCAGAATCATGAGTGATGCTGCTGATTGTGTTTTCTTCATTCATGCAAAATGGAGTGCACTAAAAATTCAATTTCTGAGTAAGTGCAATATATTTAATTAATCTATTATACTTATTTTAATTGACAGTGTGATTTAGTTCTTTTTGGTTTAGGTAATCTCCTTTGAGTAGAAACCAAATGCTGATGTGAATAGTCCAGTCTCTTTTTTCTCATTATTATCAGGGGAAATGTAAGGGTATTTAGTTCTTTAGTTAACAACCTACATCCCAATGAATAATTTCCTAAATGGAGACAATATTCAAATCTTCTTTACTTCAAAAACTTTTTCCTCTGGTACTAATATTGAAATTAAATCAGAAATTCATCTTATATGACACATAGTCATCATTAAGTATATATTCAATTATTACATATAAAAATTACATTGAACTATTTAAAACCCTAAAGACATTGGAAAAATGATCTAATGATTTATGAATATGGGCACTATAAATTCTACTATCCAAATTCTATGTAAAACTCAGAAATCCACTGATGCCTGGGATAGAACCAACAACTGAACTAGGTATGTCTTTATCAAAATAAATGTTAACATACTTTAAAAGTGAGGATGTATTCTCATATTTTCAAAAATTTTCTAACATTGATTAATCTGAAATATGGGTAACATGGATTAATTGCTAGAAGTTTCTTAAAAATCATTTTTGAGAGATAACTTTAAAATAATTGAGCATACTATTAATTTTCAAATTGATATCCTGGAAAATAATTCCATTATGGAAATTACACTGTGTAATCAATCCATGTAGCAACTATCTTATTCTCTTATCTAAATATAATTACTTATTGTTAGGATTAATTTATTGTGACAAAAAAATATTTAATCATTAAGGAATTCCAGTATAATAGGTTAAGTTTATGGTTTTCTTTCACTAGCAATACTTAAAGAATTTAACTTGGAGTATTTTTTCTCTTAACTTAATGATCAAGAGACTTTCTTATACTTAACCTAGTATATTTATTATCTAATCAGCTAACAAATACCTTCCTTTAAAAAGCAGTGTTTGAAATTTTAAAATTCTAATATCTAATATATTATTGCTTTACCTTAACATTTTATAAGGTTAATGTTTTCTTTGTAAGAAACTAATTGGGATGATTAAAGAAAAGATGGTGATTTTCATGCATCAGGACATACATTTTTCACAATAAATGGACATGTAGTGTATGCATGTTTTAACATTACATTTTAATTTGTGAATATACGGAACCCTGGAGAATGACTCTCTCTTATTGTAGTTATTGATTCATCTGTTCTGGTTCATGTTAATAACACATTTGTATTTTATGAAAACTTCTTCCACATCTTGCATCAGTCAATCATGGGATTGTTTTCAAATTTAGAAGGATGTGGTAAAACCATAATTTCCATCATTTAATACATCAGCAATCAAAGTGAGCCCTTTGTTATTAATTAGGCCTGAAGTATCCTTTTATATATTCATTTCTAATTTATTACAAATTAATGTTTTCTGTGTTGAAAATAAAATATTTATCTTTCTCTTTTAATAATATATTCAGAATGCAATCACCTTCATGTTATATTTTATTTTTCATCAGACATCAGAGTTTTTAATAAGTAACAAAGTTCTTAGTAAAAATTTTAAAGCCTTTGAGTAACAATATCTTCTTTAAATAAGTAGAGCTTGATACAGGCAATATCATAAAACACATTTTTGCTTTGGTTTCTCCTCATATTATTAGCTAAGCATTTTGTTTGTTACACATAAGTAGACAATTTGTAAAGTATTAAAAAATACACATTACAGAATATGTCTGGGATTGGCCAGGGACAATATGAAACTGCCATATCAAATGTGCACAAACAGAAATGTTGATTCTTTGTGGAAGCATATTTCAGAAATTAATTTATAATGAAGTCATGTCTATTTATCAAATTTAATGGTCATTGCAGTTATATTTATTCAATGTAAAATAGGGAACATTAATTTTATTATTATTTCTCCTTTAAACTCGTAATTATTCTGTAAAAAAAAATATTATCGATGAGTTGAATATTAACCTATCTCTGTAAACAATCATAAATAGTTACAAAGCCAAAGAAACATTCCACCTCTTACCTTTCCCTATGGTTGCTTTTCTTTTGTAATTCTCTTCTTATACTCACCTCACTCATCTAACAAAAATGAAAAGTCATGCGTTTTGAATATTTTGGTGTTATTATATTACCACCACCAACAGACAACATTAAGTTGAAAGAGGAAAATAAAAAGAATCCATTCCTCTTAACTATGTTTGTGTATTTGTGTTTTCTTTTAGTCAATCTGCTGGATTCAAAAACAATTCAAGGGGAGCTGGGCTGGATCTCTTACCCATCACATGGGGTGAGTTCAGTAAACTATTAAAAGAGAGCATAATTCTCTGTCCATTAACTCTCTCAGAGAGCAGAAGGAAATAGTGGTATGTTCTCTAAAGTGAACTCCTGTACGTCTGGTGACATGCTTATAAGTATATTTAATACGCAAACTAATATAGTCTAATATTTGTGTCCAATGGAACTACTGAGAATTTTGAAGTTTTTTTTTTCTTCTGAACTTATCAATTGCTTGATTGGACTAATTAAACAGTTTAATTATTTCTAGCATCATGCACACAATCTAAGTGTGACTAACATTTTTTTGTAATGTGATCAGAATAAATGAATGGAAAACACATTCTAAGTTTTAAGTAATGTAAAAGTTTATATTTGAAAATGGTAGCTTCCAGAGTTGTAGCCTTAAAATAAATCTTGGTGACAATATGAAGTAATACAGGATATATTTGTCAATAGTATAAACCTGTGTTGCCTTGATTTCTTTTTTTTTCAATGTCTGCAACTTGTAGATTAATTTAAAAGGAAATTTATTTAGGAAAAACCTGTATGCCTTAAATTTTAAACTTTTTACATACCTCTGGACTTTACCAAGCCAGACAGATTATACGGTATATGACATTTTAGTGACCTGAATGTTGATGATGAGCCTTTTGTGTAAGAAAATTTTCCCTTTGGTTTTTCAAAGAAAAAAAGTGTTCATATATTTGGAAAATTCCTGTTCCTAAAAAATTGTGCAATACATTTCTAAACCTATCTTTTTAGTTTCTAAGTATAGCCTGTAGAAAATGCAATGTGTTGCTATGAAATATTTGGGACAGGAAGAAATTTATGTATTCCTTTTCCTTCTACACTGGTCCTCTTTTCAAAGGGATTATAATTACTCCCTCTTAGTATCAGTGTTCAGTCTTTAGACTTTTTTTGCCTAAACATACTAATTTTTATGGTACTATCGACTTCTTCACCAACGGATGTTTTACATCAAGGATACTTCATCTATCTGTCATCTTTGTATCTGCTTCTCTTCCTGGTACACCTTGACATTGACACAATGCCAAACACTATCACATAATCAGGACATGGTTAGTTGTTTCAGAAGGGAAAGAATGAAGTAAGCCAGGATTTGGTTTTCCCATAGGTGTAAAAGGATTCAAATGATTAGGATAAAAGCACATCCTGGGTAGTCGTAAAAAGCGAATCAAAATTCAGAATGAGCTGGAAAACTCATTTAAAACTAATCATCCAAAAGTCAAATCTAACTTTAATTTTAATTTTAGAAATTTAAAATTTTCATTATTCCATTAGATAATATACCATAGAAACCTGCTCCTTAAGAGTATACGAAAAGCAAAACACAGGACATTTTACTAATAAATATTTATATGTGTATTTTTACTGTTTTTTTCTTTTTCAATTTCAGTTGTCATACAATATTATATTAGTTACAAGTGTATAACATAGTGATTAGACATTTACATAACTTACGAAGTATCCATCTGACACCTTACATAGTTATTACAATATTATTGACTATAGTTCTTATGCTATAGTTTAAATCCCCATGACAATTTTGTGACTAACAATTTGGAAGGGATTATTTCTTAATCCCTTCCCCTTTTGCATCCAGCCCTTCAAATCCCCCAATCTGGCAGCCATCAAAATGTTTTCTGTATTTATGAGTTTGTTTTTGTTTTATTTGCTCTTTTATTTTGTTCTTTAGATTCCACATATAAGTGAAATCATATGGCATTTGTCTTTCTCAGTCTGACTTACTCCACTCAGCACAATATCCTCTAGGTCCATCTATGATGTTGCAGATGACAAGATTTCATCCTTTTTTTTTTTTTATTGCTAAGTAATATTCCATCATATATATGTATCACTTCCTCTTTATCCATTTATCCATTGATGGATACCCAAGTTGCCAACATATCTTAGCTGTTATAGATAATGCTGTAATAAACATATGAATGCACAGATACCTTCAAAATAGTTTTGAGTTTCTTTGGAGAAATACCCAGAAGTAAGATTACTGGGTCCTTCTTTTTCTTTTGTTATAGCCTTTGTTTTAAAGTCTATTTTGTTTTAAAGTCTATGTTGGGTGGTGCTGGGTCTCAGAGAATCACCAGGGCAGAATGACCAATGTTAGCCAGGTTGATGATATTTATAATACCTCAACACGCCAAAGCTAAAAAAAGGAGATAAAGAAAATTAAATATGTGAATTACTGTCCTGTGCTGATGTGTAGTGTATTTTTCTTTTAAACTTTTCCTTATATTATGTTAGCCACAGTGTCCATGAGGAAATAAGTAGTGCTAATTTAGAAAATGTTAGGTTAATTTAATTTTTTCATTTTGAGAAACTAATGACATTCTTGAGTGAAAGTACTGTGTAGCTAATTTAGGTTTGGATTTATCATGCTTGCTCATACAACTGTTTGTGCTTTTAAATTCAGTTAATTATTTTAATGCCTAATTGTTGCCATTTTCATTATGACAAGGATAGATGATTTTTGTGATATCATTGCTGCAAGCTTTTCCATAAAAAATGTCATTTAATAGAAACAACTTTGAACTTGTTATTATTTTTAACCCTAATAAATAGCAGTGAATCTGTTTTTAGAGTAATAAAATATGAATGCAAAGTCTAGGAAAAAAATTGTAATAACAATGTCACATCATATTGAATCTGAAAATCTACTCTTCTTTCTCCTGTCATCTTGTAACGGAAAATTTGTATCCTTTTACCAATCCCTCCCTATTTCCTCCCACCCAACCCCCCAAGCCCTTAGCACTCACTTTTCTACTCTCTGTTTCTATGAATTTGACTTCTCTTTAGATTTCACATATAAGTGAGATCATACAGTATTTATCTTTGTCTGGCTTATTTCATTTAGCATAATATCCTCAAAGGTCATCCATGCTGTTGCAAATGGCAAGGAAAACCTGTTCTTTTGATTTAGGGCAATGGTTCTCAATGTGATGAGGGGGTAAAGAAAAAAGTGATTTTGATTTTGCTCCATGGGGAGATTTGACAGTGTCTATAGCTATGGTTGGTTGTCACAAATGGGAGGCGGGGCACTACTAGCATCTAGTGGGGAAGGCCAAGGATGCCACTAAACATTTTAGAATAAACAGGGCAGTCTCCCACAACAAAGAATGATCTGGTTTGAAATGACAGTACTCAGGTTGAGGAACTCTAACCTGGGGGATGAATAATGATGCTCCATTAGAAGCTGTAGGCACTGAGAGACTGCCCGCAACTTCTTTAAGTTCCAACATTTCTCCCATCAGAAGCTGTAAATTCCAAATATTTTAAATATAAATTTTAAAAAATAGGCAAATTATGAATTCCAAATTTGAAATAAATCTTTCATGGAATGATTATATCACCTGTGGTATATAAAATTAATATATTTGGGGGAAATGGCCAAGAGTGGTTCATTCCTTCATTTTCTATTTTTGTTATCTTTTTCTCTCAGAGATATATTAATACATAACATCTTACAATTAACCTATGAAATTTGCGGCGGGGGGACGAGTATTTCTATCTGGGAGAAAATGTAATGAAACTTTGGTTTTCTCTAAATGAAGATTATGAAAATAATAATCAAATTTATAAACTGAAATTATCAAGGGTCATGAACAGCAATTCATTTTTCAGTGATAGAGTTTTATTTGACATGAATATTTTCTGCCACTAAGTTTGTTCATTTTAGTAAAGCAGAAAGAGTAATTACTTTCTCTGGCCCTATATACTATGAATTATAATATTTGAATTATATTAAGAAATTTTAGCAAATAATTCAATAATTTATTCTTTGATTTAAAGTTCACATAGAAAAGTCCTTATATATTGTTAGATTACAACCTAGAAAAATATTTTGTTTACATATGACTAGGTATATAAATATATTGATTGATTGATTGATCAATGGAATCATGAGCCTTCTTTAACTCAGTTAAAGAAGCTGTAATGAGAGGAGAATGAGAAGTTTTGGGGAACGTACAAAAAGTACAGTCTGAAATGATTTTTTCATGTATGTTTGTAGATGTTAAAAAAGAGCCTCAAAATTAGCAATTGTGGAATTATTTTTTCTACCTTCCTTCTTTTTTATATCTTATAGAAATTTTTTCCTCTAAATGTTTTCTTAGATATTTTTTGGTGCTTTAGTGACAAGATACTGAAATAAAAAACACTTTTTTGGCAAATAGAGGCCCTTTTGGTTACCCATCCAATATCTGTTTCCTGGTTTTTTCTTCGGAATGATACACCGATAACGTTTTCATCCTCTCATATGTTCATCCTCTCGTGTGTTCACCTTCTCATGTGTTCCCACCACTCTGTGAATGTCCATTCATCTGAGAGCTAATTATGATACATACAGCCATTTTTCCAGAGATTGGTTTAGAGAAAAGTAAAGTCAATGAGACTGGAGCTGAATTCCAGCGACTTCTGGGAAAGGTTTTCTCCTGATAGAAAGAGATGAGGAGAGGCTGAGTATCTCGTGCCTCTGGGCTTGCCCTGTGCAATCTCAGTATCTAGAGCAGCTACACTATCCTCATGACCAGAAAAGTGGAGTCCAGTGAGCATTAGAGAAGTCAGCCTGGAACTCTGACATTTTGGAACCACTGAGATATGTGAAAGAATACATTTCCCTTATTTAAGCCATTTTTCTTAGTATCTCTCATACTTGCAAATTAAAGGCATCCTGATAGAATACAATGTTTTTTCTCCTGGTCAAATGTCTTAATTTCTAAATGGAGGCTATGGCAATGCATAATTGTATTCTAGAAAGTTATTTGTATTTGCCCAGGTTATCTTTTTTTTTGTATGTTAGCACAAATGATGTCAAAGATGTGAAATAGAATAAGCACTTCATTTAGAATCAGGATATCTTCATTTGAATTCTGGATCTACCATTTATTGCTTTCTGATCTGGTCTAGGGCAATTAATAATCTTCATTAACATTTATCCTCACTTTAAAAAAAATGAATAACAATTCTGGTTTC